TATGCCTATCCCCAATGTTCAGAAACTAACAACTCATTTGTCTTTAAATCTACAAACATTTCTTGGGCATCTACACAAATCATGCATTTAATATAATCAATAATTGGCAGTGCTGAAATACAAACCTTAGTTTCTTGCTCCAAGTTCATTGCTCTTTCTCCTGCTTTGTCACTAAATAGTGCTTTCAAACAATCAATTTAAGCATGTCCAAGAAGAAACATCACCATCCACTGTGTAAATTCTCTCTCTCGCTCCCTCTTTGTCTCTCTCTCTCTCTCTCTCTCTCATACACACACACACACACACACATACACACCCACCTCTATTAACAGAAACTGACAGAAAGAGAACCCTGCTCACCCCTCCCTCATTTTATTTTATCCCCTCTCCCCCTATTCTTTGAATAGTTTCAACAGGTCTCATTTTTTTCCATTTTCATACAGGAGTGCGTAATATTTCCACCATATTCACCCTCCTACACAATTTGACTTTCGCTTTCTTATGGAAAAATAATTCTGTGATTATAGGAATGACAAAAAAGTATTTTTTGTTTGTTTCCTTTATTCCATTATCAGGCCATTGCACTATTACTGTGTGCACTTGTTATTCTTGATGTTTTCCATTCAGTGTGTCACTTAATCCTCAGAATAATCTGTGAGTAAAGTATCATTGTTCCCATTTTACAAATGACACACTGATTAGAAAGAGTAAATAACCTCCCTGTTCACATAGTTATTAGATTATAGAGCTGGGACTCATAGCCAGGTTTTTCTGTGTGCAATCTTTCATATTCTTAATTATATCTCTACCTTCTTTGTTGTTTTTATTATTATCAATTCTGTATGTGGTATGTGTAATAGAAATACTTGCTTTGTTGCTATATGGTTTGATGGCCCACGTTAAAGACAGTGACTGGATGTGGTACACAAGGAATGGGGGAAAAAATCAAGTTTTATTCCTGTTACCTACTGGCTGATTTAAGATAGCTCTACTTCCTATTGTGTTATGGTTCCTCAAAAGTTTATACAGCAAGTGATGAAGCAAATGAAATGATTAATAGCAGTATTTATTCACCAGCTATTCTGAATTTAGTGAAAAAATAATAATAATAAATCGAGTCTCTTTTTTAAAGTTAACTGAGCCCTGGGAGAGACCTCATGCCATCTAGAGAACATGGAAAGAAATATGGATGGTGGCAAGTACAGTTAATTGAACATTTTATAGAACATTGAAAGAGTTCAGGGAAAGTGCATTTTCCATTTTTTATCTCTCCATGTTTAATGAAAATCTACCTATTATGACTGTGTAGAAAAAAGGAAGAAATAAAAGAGAATTATCACTTTTATTTCTACTTAGTAGCTCACCCAAGCATTTGAGTTTGCTGGATCTAGTAGCAAAACATGGAAAGCTGATTGAAAGAGACAGGAAAGAAAAAGATACCTTCTCTCAACCTCCCACTTCCAAATTAAAATCTTCTTTTCCCTGGCTGCACATGTTAGCCTTTAAAGTATATTTTGAAATAGGCAAAAATGCTCTTTAATTCTCATAACTACTGCTTTTTTCACTTACCTCTTTCATCATTTTAGTGGGATGCCCCCATTCCATTCTCCCTTGGGTAGCCAGTGCTCAAATGAACAAAAAATGTGCTTGATAGAAAAGGAAAAAGTCACCAAAGTGAAGAGTTCAGTCACAGAACTAAAGAGGAAGAAAACCTTTGCCAGCTATATATCTGACAAGAGATTAATAACCGGACTTTACAGAGAGCTCAAAACACTAAACTCCCAATGAATCAATGACCCAATGAAGAAATGAGAAAATGAACTAAAAAGAGTTTTTTCAAAGGAAGAAGTCCAAATAGCCAAAAAACACATGAAGAAATTGCTCTACATCCTTGATCATAAAAGAAATGCAACTAAAAACTGTGATGAAGGGGGTGAACTCAGCTATGATTTATTGTAAGAACTTGTGTAAATATCACAATGTACCCCAAGCACAATAATTTTAAAAAGATTCCACCTCACTCCTGTTAGAATAGCTATCATCAAGAATACAAATAACAACAAATGCTGATGAGAATACTGGGGCAGGGGGGGCCTCATATACTGATGGTGGGAATGTAAATTAGTACAACCACTATGGAAAACAGTATGGAAGCTCCTCAAAAAACTAAAAATAGAGCTGCTATATGATCCAACAATACCACTCCTAGACATATTTCCAAAAGAATGTAAGTCAAGAAACAATAAAGACACTTAAACACCCATGTTTATTGCAGCATTATTCACCATAGCCAAGCTATGGAAATAGCCCCACAGCTGATGAATGTGTATATATGTGTACATATATCACATATGTATATATGTATATATCACATATGTGTATAGCACATATATAATGGAATTTTATTCAATCATAAAAGAGGATGAAATTTTGTTGTTAGCATGTAAATGGATGGAACTGGATAACATCATCTTAAGAAAAGTTAGCTAGGTTCAGAAAGACAGAGTTCACATGTTTTCCCTCATATGTGGAATATAGATCCAATACAAGTACAAGAGATATGCATATAAATATATACATTATAATTTTAAACTAAGTCATCAATGCAGAGTATATACATATCCTATTACTGACTTCATTTTGTACATATTCACTTTCTGATAAATCTGTAACTCTTCTATGAAACTTTCTAGAGAACATTTTATTTATATACTTTTTAGTGTATATATTTAGACCATAAATGCATATTAACAAGGAAAGGGAAAAGAATAGGAATCCAAGGAGAAGAAAAGAGAAAAACAGATCTTTGAATAGTAAATGATGCTTCCAGGGGATTTCACTGTTGAAGCACACTGAAAGTCACCAACCTTCTTCTAAGACCCCAGATCCTAAAAGAATAACAAGGGTAAAGACAACAGGCAGAGTCCCTATTGTCTAGAATAATTTGGGGGATGTCAGATCATAATACAGGGGAATATAGATAAAATCCCGGAAAAGGCATATTTTACTGAAAAACACTGGCAATAAATATGAAATGTTGCACATGAAAGAAACCTTAGATGACCTCTGTTAAACCCTGAAGCCCATAGGAGAGTGGGGTAGTGAGAATGGAGAAAGGGTAGAGGATAGAATAGAATAAGAAGCCTATAAATTGTGTGGCCTAAGGTGTTGTCATGTTTGTGCATAAATATATTGGCAGAATTCTATATTTAGGTACTGAGCAACTCATCATTTTCCTTGCAAATACTTTATAGTAGAATGTTTAAATGTAGTGAATGACTATAAAATTTAGTCATTTCCCTTATAAGAAAATCAAAGATAAGCATACTGGAAGTGTATCCAAAAGGGAAACAGTTGTGGCTTGGAGGATAATTATTCTATGCCATTGGTCCAAGAGAGGAAATGAGTTACTGTATGATTACTCAGCAGCCTATGAAGCCACGTGGAGCTGTATTTTCTACTCTTTTTTCCATCTTTCTTTCTTTCTGAATTTAATATGTTATAGTCTATGGAGGTTTTAATGATTTGAGTTCACACAAACACACACACAAAAATTGGCTACTATAAATCAATTTGACTTTCAGATGAAATTGACCTAAACCACAATTTAATTTATAAAATATAAGATCTAAGTTATCTTGTATTGCTTTAACTTCCCTGTCAATAAGTGATAAAAGCTATGATTTCATTTTCTTCTGTGTTGTTCTTCATTTACCTTTCTAAGAGTAATGACTTTGTAAGTTATTGTCAAATAGAAAGATACAATGCTAGCCAGCATTGTATTGTATTGGTCTGTGGAGGTGCTCATGGTCATGAAAGCAATTCAATCACATAACCTGGCTTTATCACTGTAGCTCCTCCAAATGAACTTTACAGCAAAAGAAATGTTGGTCCTAACCCAACCACAATTTGCAAGTTAGTAATAGTACATTTAAACTCATTAGAATTGTCTTACATGCTTTTTTATAAGCATTGGTTTAATTACCAATGAAAGTCAAAAGAATATAATCCTTGTATCTTTTACATGAAAACCCTGCACAGTAACTTCAGGGGCCACCTCAAAATACCACTTAAAGTCCAGTACTGAGTCTCTAAACCCATGTTACTGAATCACTATTTACAGTAGCCAAGTTATGGAACCAGCCTAGGTGCCCATCAACAGATGAATAAATAAATATGGTGCAGATAGCCATAAAGAAAGGTGAAATTATGTCATTTGCTGGAAAATAAATGGAACTGGAGATTATATTAAGTCAAAATGAGTCAATCCAATAAAGATGAGTATTGCAAATTTTCTCATTTGTGGAAGATGGGGGAGAGAACAAAACAAAAGAAACACAAAAACCAAGGTCATGAAAGTTAAAGGGGAACTACTAGGGCAGTGGGAGGGGAAGGAGAGAGATGGCAGAAAAGCAGATAAGAAAGAGTAATGGGAGGTTTACATGATCAAAGTACATTACATGAATGTATGGAAATATTACAATAAAACTCCTTTGTACAATTAATATATATTAATAAAAAAACCCAATATCAAGGAAATTTGAAATCAAATCACCAGAACTGTAATTTGAGGAGCTAAGAGCTAAGGTGGTAGGGGAGGGATAGTTTGAATAATATAATGAAAATTACAATCAACCCAGCAATTAAAGTTGCTTACAGTTTCCTTCAAAGTTAACTTCAAAAAATTATTTGGAAGGAAAAAGTCATGTAATAGGAGAAAACAGAGTAAAGATCTCAAATGACAAATAACCAATTATATGGATTATGATACCTATTTCTAGTGATGACCCCTATAAAAAACATGTAAAGTTTTTAAGTGATTAATGATAGCATAACTGTTGAACAAGTTGTCAACAATCTATCTGGGATTTTCTTTTATAAAAAGAATACTTACTGGCTAAGGGAAACAGTGAGTGATTGGGTAAATGTGAATAGAGCCAATTTTGTCAGTCACAACCACAGAAGTCAGCTTCCTCAAATTAATCAGGTAGCTATGAGGTCATATACTGAGAACTAGGGATAATTGAACTCAAATGATTTGCTTCTAGTTCATTTCAGTGTGTTCAGTAAGGGGCTAAAGATGGTAAATGTGGGAGAAAAAAAATCAGTTTAAATACATAGGCATGCTCATCTATATTAAAAAATAATCACATGAATAGCAAATATGAAGGATTGTCTGACTACACTGACTTTTCTGGTAGATCCAAGAAGGCAGTGATCAGAGGCTTCATTGCTGAAGTACATTATTCTTTCTGTAAAGGAAACAAGAAATACAATGACAAAATAGTTCACTCATTTATATCCTTGTAATGGAATAATTCATAAAGCCAGTATATCAAATAGACATTCTGTCAAGACTGAATGCTGAACCACAGCTATATAAAACTATGAATATTTTTATTATAAAACACATGATTGTTGCAGTGAAAATGAAGTTTTAGAATTGGACAGAGTCATTTGTAGGCACTATGAACTTTTTGAGCCATATTAATGACAAAATTAAGAATCTTATTTTTATGGAAAAAAGCCCCTTGATCATAATTTTTCTGGGAACAATTAAAGAGCCAGAGGTGAGATAAATCCTTAGTTCACCATATGAAAAAGTGATTGCTATCTCAATAAGGTGACACATGTGTAGAAATCTCCACCAAGATTAGCTTTCATTCTTTGCACTTTGTGGTAGCATTCTGGGTAGCTCTCTTCAGTGACAGAAAGAGTTAACTATGTTGTTATTTGTATTCATGCTGTCACAAAGTCAAGATTAATACAAAAAAAGAGAGCTAATGCTGGAATACAGTAGGCTCTCGCCTTTCAATTATCATCTTACTGCTTGCCTTAAGGAAGGATACTTTATATGATTTTTTTCAAGGGAAGGCATGTGGGTTCCAGACAGGTGAGTACCTCAGTTGTCCAGGGTTTCAAAGAACAGCCTCATCTGGAGTGTGGGCTGTGCACATCTTATATCCTTCATAAAGGTTGGCGAGAGTTGCAGTCCAGAGGATCTGAAGAGGACATAAATCACCCAAGTATCTCTGTTGATCAAAGTGACTTGAGTATGTCCAGTTTTTGTTGTGGTCAGCATTTTTGGCAAGCACCCTTCCAGATGTGACCTTCTCCTGCAATTTGGGACCAGGGAGAGTTCAGTAAGGGAGGGTTCGTGCATTCCTAGCTAACTGTAGTATGCTGTTAATTTATAAAAGATAAACTAATCCAAGAAGACTTATTCCTGGTCTTATAAATAGTCAACTGTGGGAGCCATGCATAGTGGCGGTAATGCCTATGGAATATAGTGCAATCTGTACCACAATAACTTCGAAACAATGAGAGTTCATGAGAGATGGGTGAGTTATTGCCAGGAATAAAGGGGAAGCTACATGGATGATAATATATCTAATAAAGGATATGACCAGAGAAGTAGAGTAACAACACAAGAGTAGCCACGGAAAGGGAGCCATGCAAAGCTCAGGAGGCACTGGGAACAAAAGGATAAATTACAGAGGACTTTGTATCTCCTCTAAAGACTTCATCCTCATATCATGTGAACTAGAGTCAGCAGGATACATTCAGTGAGGAAAGTAGAGTATGTTGCTTTTAGAAATTATAGTCCTAGCAACAATCTAGAGTATGGTGTAACAGGGGACTCACAAACAAAGAAAACTGTCACGATAGCCAGTAGCTAAGGCAAGAAATGGGGAGAAAATTATCATTAGTAATTTGTATAATAATAATATTAAAGCAAAAAAGATATGTTTCTAAAATTTAGGGAAATACAAGAAAATGAGGCAGAAGAGAGAAAATTAATTGTATGACAAAATGTGTTAATTTCAAGAACAGCCAAACTTTAAGGCAAATTTATGATAAAAATATTTTCTTTTTCCTTTCTAAACTAGTTCATCATTAGCAGGAATTAGAAAAAAAATCAAATTTAAAAAGTAAGTGCTGAGAGCCTGGCACCAGTGGCTCATGCCTAAAATCTTAGCTACTCAGGGGGTAGAGATCAGGAGGATCTTGGTTCAAGGGCATCCTGGGCAGACAGTTCAGGAGACCCTATCTCAAAAAAAAATCAGAAAAAAACATTGGTGTAATGGCTCAAGGTGTAGGCCCTGAGTTCAAACCCTAGTACCATAAATAAATAAATAGTAAGGGTTGGGACTATAGCTAAGTATTTAAGTGTTTGCTAAGCTTGCACAAGGCCCTGGGTTCAATCTCCAATACTGCAAAAATGGAGAGAAAGAAACAGAGACAAAGAAACAAAGAAAGAAAGAAAGACCAGGCACCAGTGGTTAACACCTATAATCCTAACTAATTAAAAGGCTGAGATTGGGAGGATCAAGGTTCAAGTCCAGGCCAGGTAAAAAGTTTACAAGACCCCATCTCAACCAAGAAGCACAGTGGTGTGCACCTGTCATCCCAGATAAGATAGGAAGTGTAAAATTGGGTGTATTTTGTATCTTATATATGAAAATATAAGAATGAAATCTGTTGAAATTGAAGGAGGGAGCAGAGGGAGAACGATGAAGGGGATAAATCTAATAAGATATATGATAAGCACATATGTTAATATCACAATGTGGCCCCCTATATAAATATAATATGCAAATAAAATTATAAGTAAATAAATAAATAAATAGGAAGATTACAGTCCAGAATGACCTGGGCAAAAAGCAAGACCCATAGGAAGTAAACCGCTAAAACTTTCTGATATATCATCAAAGACATGAATAAATAATTCTAGAGACATCTAGTGGGTGAGGATGAAGGGAGTAAGTTATTTTTTGCCCAAAGTAGGACTATTATATGAAATGTATAATATTAATGGAATTGGAAATAATGACAGCTAGTACTTATGTCATGCTATGAGCTATGCCATCTTTGCCTAGCAACTCATGTAATCCTCATTATCTATCCAACAAAATGCAAATTGGGCTTTCTGCATTTTTACAGGAAGAAACAAAAGCTCAGAAAAGGAAATTTCCCAACATCACATAGCCAGGAGATTTTAGAACCAAAAATTAAATCAAAAACATAACTTCAAAATCTGATGTCTCAGCCACTATAAAATTTCCTCAATATTTAGCTGCCCAAAAATTGGAGACCAGTCAAATAAAGTAGGATAATACCTATGCCTTTGAAAATAGGAAATGCTTATATGTAATGCTAAGTGAAAAGAAAAATAAATAAAACTTTATGAATAATACAGTTTTATTACTTTTGTCCATATGTATGTAGAAAGAATGTACTTTTAAATGGACATAAATAATCAAAATGTTAACTGAGGTATGACATAATATTATGCATGACTTTGATTTTTTTATGCATTCCAAATATTCTCTAAGCCACAGACTTCATTTATTTGATAAGCAAATAAACAGTATGATTGAGCTTTAAATTTAAAAGACCATGAATTCAGTTAGTTACCATAACATTGTTTTAGTTAAAATAATATTTTACTTAACTGAGATATACAGACTTATGAAATGTCCTTCATTTAAACTCTTCAAAATAAATTAAATTAACTAGGAGCCAGTTGTGAAGCAAAGTTAAAACTCTTCTCTTTCCCAAACCCATTCCCTACTATGGTTCTTCCATGCTTCCAAATTTATATGATATTACAAGCTAGGAATTAAAGTTAACATAAATATTGCATTTATAAGAAAAGCCCAGAAAGTCACATGTTTACATATTTCAAATAATATGAACAGCTTATTTAGTCTTTTATTAGGCAGTTAGTATACAAGGATCAAACTGTGCACTAATCTGTGCAAGTATGGAATCTATAACCCTAGGTTTTTTTCTAGCATGTTTCTCTAGTACAAGAAATGAAAGAAAAAGAAAGGAGAAAAATAGAGGGGATGAACCAGTTTGGGTTATAATACATATATACTTGGAAATGCCACAAAAAAAAGCACACTGTATAGCTAGCTTAAACAAAAAAATGCCATTTTGTTAATTTTTATTTTTTTTTTACAAAAGCAGAGAATGGGAAGGTAAAATAGGTACTGTCTGGGGGGTTAGTACCAGTGGGAGGGGCAAGGATATAAGGAAAGGGAGTTGGAGGGTAAATATGGTAGAAATATTCTATATTCATGTATGAAAATAGAAAAAAATGAGACCTGTTGAAACTATTCTAGGAATGGGGGGAGGAGGAATAAAGGAGAATGATGGAAGGGATGAACTCAACTATTATATATTGTAAGAAATTTTATAAATGTCACAATCTACCCCAGTAAAACAATGACAAAAATAAAGTATAAAAATTATATACCTAAAATTTTACATAAATGTTTTCTACCTAAATGAAAATAACACATAAACTATAATTTTTTTATTCACCTATTTTAGTCTTTATTATTATTATTGTTAAATATGCAATATTCCTGAGATTTTGTGTACTGGACCTTCCATTTAAAGTGATTTAAGCAATCCTTCAATACCTTTCATGCCTCAGAAACAAAAGCTTCCTCCCCTCCAAAAAAGAAACGAATGTTTAAGTCTTATTATCTAGCTGGGTATCTCTCAAAGTCCACTTCTCCTGCTACACAGATCTCAGGTTAAACCTGTAAACCACAAATGTCACTGCAGTAATAGAATCTTTCCACAATGAATGTGCCACTGCCAGCCTCTAAATGCAACCACAGCCACTTTCAGCTTTCAGTTTTTATTTAAAAGGCTTAATTTGAAGTTTTTATTACTCCCAATTAGGCTTTTTAATTAAAAGGAAAAGTTGAAAGAGGCTGCAGGCAAATACTGCTAAAACCCATATCAGCATAAAATCAAAGGAAATAAAAACAAAATTACACTACTGTAAAACAGCAGTAACAGACACAGCTTTCAATAATGTTTACCTCTGGTCATATTTAATGTTTTGGTAGCACATTGACAGTGATGAAGTGGACATGACTGATTGGAAAAACCAGACTGTATCTAATGTAACAATTAAATACATCAAAATGATACTTAAAAAACCACATTAGCATTCAAGGCAAAAATCTAGCAAAATGCACAGTCAACAATTCAAGTAGTTAGCAACCCTAATTCACCAACACAGCACTAACTCTACACACTGATACAGACTCTTAAAGTCTCCTTAACAAGCAGAATGCCTACATATAAACAATGTGGATAAGTACTTATTGTTGTAAGATGATTTGCTTTTTAATTCCTTAAAGAATATTTTTTCTTTATAAAGCTTTAACTTGTCATTATTGCCAAGTTTTACACTACTGTTAGCCTTTTTGACTCAAAATGAAATTAGAAGTTGCATTCGCTTAAATTTTTGTTATCTTTGAAATTCCATGCAATGTCCTCAGAGCAAAATAAAACTTCTTATATAAAGGTAAGCACATTATCAAAGGGAATAGCGATGTGTAGCAATATTTGATCTATACCATAGAAAATTTCATACCCAATAAACTTGGCTATTTACCTTGACTCATAAATTATACTATAAGTCAAGAGAAATTTAAAATGATTCACATATAAACTATGTTATTTGAAGAAGTTATTTCTTCATATCTTAGCTTCCCAACTCACAGATTTGATTAAAGCTTCCCCCAAATCACACTACTAAATTTGATGTAAAAATATACAAATGTCCATGCAGAAAAATACATTTTAGTATGGCATCAAGGCTTCAGAAATCTTCATTCTTTTTGTCCAGTCATTGCAGGAGTTCAGATTTTGCAAATTAAAATCTTGATAAAGATAATGCTAATGCAGGTATAACTCAACACCTCTGCTTTTTAGAGACAGGAATCTAGCATATTCTCTTTCCCAAGGAGACACTCACTACACTTGGGCAGGTAGGGATGAGGTAAGCTAGGGTGAGGGCAATCCTGATGGCATCATGGATTACCATCCTCTAGATCTCCCTGCCTTGACTCTTGCCCTGTGCAATCCATTCTGTGAAGTATAAATTTCCTTATGGAAAAACTCAATTTGTGCTATTCTCATACTTCATACTTATATTGCATCTTATTATGACTAGAATAAGATCTATGGAAACTCTTAAGCATAACCTAACAAATCCTTCCCTGATCTTTTTCTTCATTCCAATCCTGTTTTGAGTCTTACCCTGGCTCACTTTTCTCCAGCTCTAGGGGTTTTTTGTTGTTGTTGTTTTTGGGTTTTTTATTGTTTTGGAGTTCTGTGGACACACCAACAAGAACTTGCCTTCCTTGAGGCCTTAGCATATGCTCTGTTCTGTGCCTAACACTGTTTCTGCTTTCAGAGCTTTTTCTGTGCCTCTCAGTGTCAACATAGTCTCAATGTAAACTTTACTGTTTCAGAGAAGCCTTCCATAACCATTTAATGTAAGCTCATCACAGTTACTATTATAATTCTATATGATTCTATCATAGTTAATATATTTGCATACCCCATCATTCTTATCACAACCAGTTATGATATTTATGTGGCCATTTACTTATTACATTTAAATGCTTTCAACAAGAGGATGTCCCCCCAAGAGACAAAAGCATTGATTATCTTATGTATCAATATACCCATCATCTATCCAACATCTAGTCCTATGACTACTAGATATAGTAGGAACTCAGAAAATATTTTTGCACAAATAGAAGAATAATGAATATATGAATGCAAATAAATAGTTTAAAGTTTCTAGTAGCAAAGATAGTTCTTGTCTTTGAAAACTATTATCATAAGCTATTCAGGAATACAAAATGCAGGCTTATATAGGTATCAGTGACTCACACCTGTAATCCTAGCTACTACTGAGGCTAAGATCTGGAAGATTGTGATTCATGCATGGCCCTGAGTTCAAACCCTAGAATCACCAAATGCAAAACAAAACAACATCAACAAAAAACCTCTATCGTGGTCAGCTAAGACCATGGAGAGAGTTATTAACAACTCTCCAGCCATATTTTGGATTTGTTTTTGATGTTTATTTTCAAATCCTAGAGTTTCTCCTCCTCCTTCCCATACTCTCATTAAAAAGTGAGCACATGGTTTTACTCTGAGCTACAAGTAGAAGAGACATCACACAATCCAAATAATACATCTTCCACAAGAGAGTAAAGCACTGTCCATTGTCAAAGCTAATTTCCTATTAGCTCATGTTATAATGTGGAAAATAAAGTAGCAATTAAAAATAACATTAATAGAAAACTGCAGAAAGAAAAGAAGTTGGAGGAGAAGAACAAATTAATTCAATTCTGTAGACATTAAGATAAACAACTGAGGTATTAGGGAACATATCCTCACTAATCATCTTCATTTAGGGCTGACTTAGAGAACAGAAAGGGAAAAAAAAGCTTCATGGCACTGCCAGGCTATGCTTCTATATCTCAGGCTGGTGGGAGTACAGAAACTACCTATAGATGCATTTGAGCACTGGCAGCCTCTAGGAAGACTGCCCTTCCAAGATGGAGAGGTGAGGTGGGATTAGTCTGGGAGACTGAGTGAAGCAAGGACTAACTATGAAAGCTTGTGGCAATTTTAGGAACATCTTCCTTCAATTGGAGAAAAAGCTGAAAGAAAGGAAATACAGCTCAGCATCTGTGTTATCTTATTCATTTCATACCACATAGTGACGTCTTTGTACACAAGGTACTGGGGATCAGATAGAAAAACTGATTTACCAAAAGCTAACAAGGGTCGTAGGCAGGATATACAGACTCTGTGTCTCCCAAGCCCAGTGACTTACTTTCAACTCAGGCAGAAAGAACTTTCAGGCTATATGGTTTTTATTTATTCCTTTGAGTTGTTTTTTGGGGGGTTGGAGTTTTGGTGTTCTGTTTTGTTTCTGCCAGGAGATATGTCTGTGCCACTTTCTTTAACATATTTACTGAAACTTTCAGAGTCAAACCTTATCACTGCCTATTTAAAAGGACCTGGGGATGGGGCTGTAATTCAGTGATAGAGAACTTAACTGGCACATGAAAAAGCACTCGGTTCACTAGGTTCAATCCTCAGCACTGAAAAAAAAAAAGATCTGGGACCTTTCTTCCCAGCTTTCTAGGTTCTAAGCTGGGGTTGAAGGAGACAGTAGTCATTGGGACTTTTACCTGGAGCAAACTGTACAGAGATTAAGAATTTTAGCTCCTTAATCAGATAAATCTGAGTTTTAATCATAGTTTAATATTTGGTAGGTGCATCCTTGAGCAAGACTATAACCACATTAGTTTTCTATTGTCATGATAGATTACCCTAAATGAAGTAGCTGAAGAAAATTTATCATCTTACAGTTCTGAAAATCAGAAGTCTACATGGATCCATTTTGCAAAAATCAGGGTGCATCCTGTACTTTTTCCTTTCTACAGATTCTAAAATGCAAGCCATTTTCTTGCCTTTTCCAGTATCTAGAGGCTATCTGCATTCCTTGCTTATGTTTCCATTCTTCCAACTTCAAATCAGCACCATCGAATCTTTTTGACTCTTCCACCATCATTCATCACATCTATAACTTTGACCATAGAAAATGATCTCCTTCTTGTAAGAACACATGTGATTAGATTAAATTTACTGAAAAAACCAAAATAATCTTCCCTTCTCACAGTTCTTAATTCTTAACACATCTGCAGTCTTCTTTGCCAAGTAAGACAACAAATTCACAAACTCTATGGAGTAGAATGCAGACTACTGTGGGAATGCTATCATTCTGTGTATCAATTAAATTCTGAGTCTCAATTATCCCATCTGTATAGTACAAATAAGTAAAGTTCCTACTTTGTAGGGTTGTGAGAATAAAATGTGAGTTATACATATAACCTTATTGGCTTAGCATCTGACATACATTAATGGTCCTAAAATATCATTATCATAAATACTACCATAAAAATTGCCTTTTTCTGTTGTACTCACTCACTTCTATCAACCCACTCACTTCTACTACATAAAATAACTAGCATCATTGACTTGTATCCTTCCACTATTCCAGATTCTTCTTTATAGTTCTTCAAAGGTAATTTTTTTGTTCTGGTAATTTTTTTGTTCTTTGTCCATCAAATAACTAGGAGAGGTGACCTAAACTTCAAAACTGACACTAATGGGCCCCAAACCCCTGCAAACTTATTTGACAATCATTCATCATTGCTTTTCAATCTAAATAATCCTCACATGAGAATTCCACATAAACACTCACATGTCTCTTTCTACGAGGCCCAGGGCTAGAGGTGATGAAGCAGCTAGCCAGTCACCTGCTACTCCCAGTTGTTGGTGGTATAGTGTAACCAGATTGTCAAGGTTCACCTGGAGGATTACCTGCTAAATCACAAGTTTAAAGAAAACAATTTGGAGTTACCCAAGAGGAAACAACATACTTACTTATCTCCAGACTCTCCACACAGACTGTATTAAATTTCCCATAACCAAATTTACTGCAGGGCTGAGAACAAGCATGAGATATTTCTGCTGAAAGTGTCTGATATTTGAAACTGCCTTTGAAAAAGAAGCTTAATGCCTAAGAGCAATTCCCTATCTTTTTGGCAAAACTCATTTCTTCCATTTGAGAAAATTGCTTGGTCATCTAATTGTTGCAGGTTATGAAATAAAAATAAGTTCAAAACACAGTATTAAACTAAACTGGATAATGCCTTTTACTCTCAAGATTTGGGAAACACTGCGTCTGATGTCATCAAACTGTCCAAGAAGGTATTTTGGCACCAATTTCTGTGACACCTTTAAATCTATAAAATGCAAGTACTCAAACTAGTGAAGGGAAAAGGAAATGAAAGGTGGCATAAAAGTTACTTTCTTTAAAATTTCTAAAATAAATATACATTTGAGCATAGCAATCCTTGAGTCAAACATACAATGATCTCATAGAGAGCTATTCAGCATTTTTTCCAATACTGGCTAGCCGCTGCATTAGGTATACCACATAGGGATTTAGAAAACAAGTAGAATTCAGTCAAATAGATTTGTTGTAGTCAACATTCATAGATGCTAAAAAAGAAAGCATGTTTTGTTTGAAAAGGGCACCTCAATTCCCATCCCTGCCCATCAAGTGAAAGGGAGATATGAGGATATCAACTGTGAAATGTCAGCATACTAAGTAGGATATGCAGCTCTTGCTTCTTGATATGAAAGGGAAAGATCTCAGTGAATGCTATTTGAAAGTCCATCTGCCACAGAGCAATGCTATACTTTCCGATATTCTGTATAGCTGCTCAGAGGGGATGAGCAAAGGGCTGAAGCACTGTCTCAGTGCATTGCCCCATCAGCACCCACAGCTCTTCATGGGAGTGCCAGAGAGAATTGGATGTACTGAAGAAAATGAATTTGGAAATAAAAAAGAACAGCTTCAGAATTTAAACAGAAAAGAGAAAGAACTGAAGCCAAAGATACGGTTACCTTATCCCACGAGACAAGCATGCATGGATGAATATTATAAGATTTTTTTACTGAGCCTAAACATAACTATGACATATAAAAAGGATCTAGATCTTTTGCTGTTGCTATCATAGGGGTGGGGGGATGAGCTAGTCTAGAGTGCAGTGTTAGAGGCAGATAATAAAGGCTTGAAATTGAAATGGTGATAAACTCTGTGTACAAGTCCTGCAGATTAGATGAATATTTATTAGAGTTACATTTCAAATTCCACTAAAAAGCACATAGCATCTTAAAGGATAATTTTTAAAGCCCTAATCTCTTCATTTCAAAGGGAAAAAAAGATGTAATCTACAAAAATAAATCTGAATTCATGAAAGCCAATAGTCACAATACCAAAGATCCTCCTAATCACGTTCCAAGCTTTAACAAGCTGACATCAAACTGTAAACAGCATCATTTCACACACAACGATGCCACAGCCACTTCTAAGGAGAAAGTGGAGCAACATTATACAGTTTAAAGGTGCATATGAAAAGGAAATGTGCAACCAAACCACCCACAGTATAGAAGTGAACATCATAAGATTAATAATGTGTAAAATTTAGTCAAAACCCTGTTGCCCAGAGCAGGTATTTCAGCTTTTCTTAGAATGTTAGAATGACTGAAAACTTTTAAAGACAAGATACTGTCTTTTGAAATAGATTCTGCCTTTAAAATATGTTTTTGATATATCACTACACAGCTTCAAAAGTAAATGGGCACCCAAGTGCAACAAGGGCTCTCAGGAAGACACATTTCAACACCAACCTGGCCAAGTGCAAGACTGTGGAAAATATATGGAGGTTTGATTTGATGGTTGTCTCAGAAAAAAACAAAAATAAATTCTCCCTTATCAACAGCAAGATAGTAGCATTTGTTTCTGCATAATCAATGAAATTACTTACGTTGTTGCATACATTTTACTAATCTCTCTTATTGCACTAATGATACTTCGGAGTAAACATTATAGAATACAAAGTGCAGTGTTTTGATACAGTATTTTTAAAAATCTACCAAACGAATGAAATCCAAAATTTTCATTTGTTTTATATAATTTGCTAAAACATTGCCCTCTGCTACTGCTAAAATAGAACGGGTTTATTTTAAAAGAGTGATTCAATTTTTAATTGTGTCTTCTCCATCGTTTGATACCAACATAGAATCAAATGATTTAAAGATATCAAAATCACACCCCATATTTTAATAACAAAGTGATGGTAGAAAAAGATCAGGAAGCAAAATATTCTTTGTCCCCTTTCCTTCTTCTTAACCAGAAGAAGATAAAGAAAGGTGAGGGTAGGGGGAGAGAAAAAAAGAAAACAGAAAAAAAACTCTTGTCTTGAGCTTTTAATTAGTTAATCTCCCAACCAGGTAAGTCAGTGCTGGTAAGTGTTGCTCTGGTTTCAAATAATTACCCGATAATTAGTGCCTGGGGTGGGATTTTTTTTTTATTGCCTCATCAACATTCACCACCATTGCTATCATATGAAGAGAAAGAAAAAGGAGAGAAAATGAAACAAGGAAGTAAAAATATGAAAAGAAAATGTACACAATTCTTTTAACCCTTGCCACTGATCAGCACCTCCAAGAAATTATTTTGTTGTGCACACTGTGATAGTCACATACCAGTCACATTCTCAAAGCACAAGTCTATCTGGCACAAATTATGTATTAGTTTCTGCCTTCCACACAGAGACTTTTACACTTAGTGGGCACCAGAACCATCTGGGGAGCTTGTTAGAAAGTCAACATTCTCAGGACTCAAAAGATTCTGATGTGATATACAGCACATGGGACCCAGAAATTTCCAAGTGCTACAGGTTGATTCTCATGCATAGGGATCTATGGTTCATAATTGGAGAAACACCACCTTAGAAGGTACACCTACCTCTTCTTTTACATATTGAAAACAAAAAAGATTGCCTGAATATTCTCTAGAGACCAGGAAGGCAGGAATTTAGCCACAATTTTGTCCCACTCTCTGCTGTATGAATGATGCGGTCGCCACAGTCACCTGGATTCAGGTGAATCTTCTAGTGACAGGTCCTCAGTATCTCCAAAAGTAAACCCTTCCATCTTTGAATGGTTCTTAACTGCCCCCTTCTTTCTACATTTCACGTAGGTCTTTGCTCTAATCTTTGGAACCTTGTGTCATTAATGGGACTTGTTCTAATGGTTGCCTTATAACTTTAAATAATGTAGACTTCGATCACAAGAGAAGGGGAGAGCACATACAGGAGATATAGAAATAGGTAGAAAACCCAAAACATGAAAGCATTTGATGTCCCCACTCCAGAGGAACTAGTACAGAAACCCTAAAACGATAGGTTATCATGAGCAGGGGATCAGGAACCAACGTAAAGATCAGTTAGAGTTGAATCAACATGGATTGTAACACATAGGTACACAAAAGCAATAGTAGGAATCTCTCTGTATAGCTATCCTTAACTCAACTAGCAAAAACGCTTTGTCTTCCTTATTATCGTTATGTCTTTTCTTCAACAAAATCAGTGATAAGGGTGGAATGGGACCTGCCTGGAATTGAGGTGGGGGGGAACAGTGAGGTAGGGGACAGAGTGGAGAAATGATCCAAACAATGTATGCACGTGTGAATAAGTGAACAAAAAAAATAAAAATATATATACAGTTAAATTTCTAACATTGAATTAATCACCTTGGGTAGCATTTGAAGATGCTATAAGATAATGAAATTAGCAATTTATTCTTCAAAAAGGTAAAATGTCAAAAATGTTTTCTTAATAACTAACTTTCATGTTAGGTGCTGCTCTAAGGCAAAGCTATGGAATTCATTCTTCTGTTTGTAGGCAGTAACATTGTTGACATGTATACTGAGGAGAATTGTTACAAAGCCTATAAAACCTTATATTTGACCTAAATATGAATTTGTAGAACACATGTAAATGAGACAGACTCTCCCCCATTCATTATTAGCCCAAAAGAAAATGAAATAACAGAGCCATAAGCAGGTAATTATTAAATCATAAAAGTAAAAGATATGACATGTTAATAAACCACAATGGCCAACTCACTTGTCAATCTGTTAACATTGTGCCCAATGAGAGTGTGGTTGTTATTGTTGTTGCTTTGAGCAGTGGTATAGACCCTGAATCAAAGAGAAATAGCACTGTACCTACAAATTAACTTTTACAGGAAGTGTTTGTCCTATACAAGCACAGGTGCAATTGTTGTTTTTTCTAACACATTTCCACTCCACTGAACAATAGTGTCCACTATCCTTATGTAGAGTAATTTGTGTATGCTAAGCTTTTGCTTTCCTGGAATTAATTCTCTAATTTTCTTAGTAGTAAGTTACTGCCTCTCAGAACACATACAGAATTAACTAATAGTAGCTGGGCACTGGTGGCTTACACCTATAATCCTAGCTACTCAGGAGGCAGAGATCAGAAGGATCACAGTTTGAAGCCAGCCCTGAGTAAATAGCCCATAAAACCCTATCCGGACTAGGAACTAGAGAAAAAGTTAGTTTGAGAAGAATCAATTTAGAAAGTAACACATATGTACATGGAAGCAAAACTAGGAATTTCCCTATATAGGTATCCTTACCTCAACTAGCAAAAAACCCTGGTCCTCCTTATTAATGTTTATACTCTCTTTAACAAAATTAGAGATAAGGGCAAAACAGTATCTGCTTGGAAGAGAGGGGGTGGGGACAAGAGGGAGGAGGTGGGGGGAAAGAGAGGGGGTGGAGGGAAGGGGGGAGTAATGACCCAATCATTGTATGCACATATGAATAAAGGAAATTTTTAAGAAGCTGATAAATTTTAAGTTATGTATTTTATTTTAACCACATTAAAATTTTTTTTTAAAAAACAAAACCCTATCTGGAAAAAATCCATCACAAAAAAGGGCTGGTGGAGTGGCTCAAGGTGTAGCCCCTGAGTTCAATTTCTTTTTAATTCTTTTCTTAAAAAGAATTAACTAATTGTAATCAAAATTAAAGAACTTAAGAAAAGGCTTTTTGGAAAAATGCAAACTTTTGCAACTGTTTATTAAAATATGTGTAGTTATGATGATAGTCATAAATAAATACATCCTACCAGAGTGGGCTATCCAATGCCAAAGTAATTATTAAGTAATTAGTAATCTGCTTTATAATATAGTATTATATTATATTATAACATAGTATAATATAGTATACTATCATAACGTAACATTTTATTTTTTATTCATATGTGCATACAATGTTTGGGTCATTTTTCCCCCTTCTCCCACTCCCTCTCTCTCCCCTTCACCCCTTCACTACCAGGCAGAAACTATTTTGCCCTTATCTCTAATTTTGTTGAAGAGAGAGTATAAGCAATAATAGGAAGGACAAAGGGTTTTTGCTAGTTGAGATAAGGATAGCTATACAGGGAGTTGACTCTCATTGCTTTCCTGTACATATGTGTTACATTCTAGATTAATTCTTCTCAAACTAACCTTTTCTCTAGTTCCTGGTCCCCTTTTCCTATAGATGTGCTTACTTAAAAGTCAGTTTACAGGGCTGCTAGAGTGACTCAAGAGGTAGAGCACCTGCCTAGCAAGAGTGAGGCCCTGAATTCAAACCCCAGTATTGGCCCCCCATAAAAAATAAATGGTCTAAAATTCAGTCTACAGAAGGATTGAATAGTGGGAAATTTAAAATGAAAACTCTGACAACA